TCCTTGCTGACCCTGGCAAACAGAGCCTGTTCTTAGGTACCTGTAACCCAAATGAGAATGCTATTACTTTAAAATCCAAAATGGTTGCCATTTGTAAACATTCAAAATGGCTGCGCCCTTGGTCACTTTAATATTCAAAGTGTCCACCACTTGTAAACATTCAAAATTTCTCCACCTTCGGTCACTTTAACTACCCAAAATGTCCTCCACTTGTAAACATTCAAAATGGCTGCATCCTCGGTCACTTTAAATATCCAAAATGGCTGCCATGTGTAAACAATCAAAATGGTTGTGCCCTCTGGACAGCAGAAAGTCCACAGCTCAGGTTGTCTCCCTCCTTGCTGTTTCCCTTCCTAGTCATAGGCCACCAGGGTAGTTGTTCCTGCAGCCCTTGGTGACCAGTCTGATCTTTAGGTCAATTCTCAGGTCCCAACACCACTTGGAAATATTCAAGCTTTTGGTCTCGTCAGAGTAGCTGTCAGTCCACAGCTCCGACCGTCTCTGTACTCACTGTTTTCGTTCAGGTCTTTCCACTAGTTGATACCTTAACCATTTCTGTATAGTTCCTTTCAATGCTCAGGGTTCCAGGATTATCTTCTGTATCTCTGTCAATTGGTTTTTCTTTTCTTTGTTGAAGAGGGTGTGTGGGGCTTGTCTGCCTATTCCTCCATCTTACCCTCATTCTCTACCACTTTATCTTCTTTGTGTGGACTGTGATGGTCTGTTGTCTCCGAGACATTGTGGCATTGTCGTATTTAGAGCTCTGTTAACCCTTGGTGAAGAGCAGCCAAGGATGAGTCAGGCTCTTTTTGATGGTTTTTATTGTTGGCCTGTTGGTGGAGAAGGAAGTGGTGGCTCTCCCTCAGTAAGTGAAGCTTTCCAGTGATCTGTGTCCAGAATGTCCTTGGGGTTCCCAGCAACTAGAGCCTGTTCTTAAGTCCCTGGAATCACCACTCGGCAATATCCAAGCTGCCTGTGCCGTCAGGATCACTGCCAGACCACAGCTCTGTATATCTCCTTTTTTTGGTGTTTTCATGCAAATTCTTCTGCTAGTTGGAGTTTAGTCCACTTCTGTATCCTTTCCTTCAGTGCTCAGGGGTCCAGGATTATCTTCTGTATCTGTTTTATTTGGTTCCCCTTTTCTTAGTTGAAGAGGGTCTGTTCAGTTTTTCTGCGTATTCTGACATCTTACCAGAACTCCTGTCTCCTTGGGTTTCTGAGGCGGTATCTCTTCAGAAGTAGGTTGAACAATCTTCCTTCTGAGGAGTGGCTGGTGGGTTTGAACTGCCAGCCTTCTGGTTAGCAGTCAAATGGCTTAGGCACTATGCCACCAGAGCAGCACTAAACCAAACCAATAACCAAACGTACTGCTATCGAGTTGGATCCAACTCATAGTGACACCTCCTTGGGTTTCCAACGCAATGTCACTATAAAAGTTGATTGCCCATCCTTCCTTCCAAGGAGTTGCTGGTAGCAGTCAAATGCCTTAGGCACTATGCCACCAGAATAGCACTAGACATAACCAAAACAACCACTTATGTGATAGTGCAATTTGGCAGTTATGTAATGATGTTGTCATTCTCCATTTTGTGACCTGAAGTGGTCATCCTCCATTTTCACATAATGCCAATTGTTTTATAAGTCTTGTCTTTAGAATCTCCATGTTGATAAGTAAAAAGTCTGTATATTATGTGTGGGGGAAGAAAAAGGAAGCTAGCCATATAATAAAGGTTATAGTCTCAAAGTATCTTTCTATAAGACTCCTGGGCCAGGTTCGTCCAGTGTAGACTTGCTATTTTCCCTTTGTGCCAGTAGTGCAGGCCAACCTCATGGTGTGTGGATATACCTAGAGTACCCCACCTCAGTTCCTGCAGTCTTGGCACCCCTGGGCAACCAGTGTAGCTGTACTGTGAGCTGGCTTCTTTGTGGTTATCAGTGTGCTCAGGGTGTTCAGCACATGTGTGTTACAGCTGTTGCTGCTGTCTGGGACTGCTGCAGACGATGAATGAGAGGGCCACTGGCAAGGCAAATCCCACTGTAAGAACACCAGCTTTCTGTCATCTGAAGGGAGGAGAGGTAGGGTAGTCCACGATCTCCTGGAGGGGCCTTCCAAGTCCTCCCCATCCTTCATTCCTAGCCTTAGTGAAGCAGAGGACAAGTTGTTTGGAGAGACATGATGGTCAGGAAGCTAGATGGCTTTGTTGTTGTTGTTATGTGCCGTCGAGTCGGACCTGAATCATAGTGACCCCTCCTTGGGTTTCCGTGGCGGTATCACTATGGAAGTAGATTGCCTACCCTTCCTTACGAGGAGTAGTAGGTGGCTTAAATACTCAAAAATGGTGGACATGGAATGCGGATAGACATGCAGCCAGAAAAAGAAAACATCCAGTCTAGCTAGAAGCATGACAAGTTGACCACAGCCTCACCACTCATATCCACAGGCAACAAGGCAACATCTGGCTAGTTACTCAGACCTCCAGCCAGAAAGACACTTAGACCATCCCCTAGCCAGCCAGACTTCTGGCTGGACAGAGAGAGTGCAAAACAAAGGCACAGCTGAACAAGCAGACAGATTCTAAGACAGATGTAGACTCCCAGGCAGCCAGCCAGATAGACACATAGACCCACACCCAATTGGAAGGTAGACCTTTCAACTAACCAGAAGACAAACAGCCTCCTAGACAAACTTCGTAAGACAGACTTGCCCAACATGATAGCTTCCTGCAGGGAAGTTGGACAGACAGACCTTCAAGCCTGGTATACAGATATTCAGCCAAATAGATAAACAGATTCGCAGTCTTCTAGTCAAACAGTCTTAGTTCCTAGTTGGACAGAAGATCCCTAGCCATTCAGGCAGAAAGACTCCCTCAGTCACTGTGTCACTCCTTCTGTCCCTTGCTTAACATCATAGATGAAATGGATGGCCCCCAGTGCTGCCACTATTTCCCAGGTACCACCCTCTGTTGCCCTGACCACTGACCTCCCAAGTACCCACTTTGGTCACCAGTGATGTCCACTATCACCAGTGTCAACACAGTCTTCATGACCCGACCATAACCCTACCCCACTAGTATCCACTAGCTCCAAATTACTACCATTAGTACCCACAAATACTAAGAGACTCATAGATGCCCAATGATTTCTCCAGTGAGCCTCCATATTTTCTCAGAGTTCACTGATTTCTCTCCATATCCCCAAAATCCATTGACCTCACTAAGTCTTCTAGAATGAACATCCACAGAACCTTAGTGATCCCACTGATACTATTATTCCCTGATTACAAGCCCTCAATGACCTATGAATCTTGGGACCCTTCAATTACTTAAACTAACACTCCAAATCTCAGTGGCCCTTAAGTTATTTCACTGTCTTTTTCCAACACCTCCTTCTCCCATATAAACTACTGATCTCCCAGTGGTTACCATTAACTACAGACAGCCTCTTTGTATCCAATAACCCCCTTGACCCACCCCATGAATCTCTAAGTACCTTTCACTAACCTTTCATAAATCCACTATTAATCTCTGTCCTCTGATCATTATTGATTCTACTGGCCACCTTTAAATCCTTAAGGATTAAACTGGTTAATGATAAACTTTGAGTACTCTGTGACCACCCACAGGCTCCTTAGTCAAATATCCCCAGTGACTTAATCCCCATTGACCCAGTTGACTCATCAATCATTTAAACTGGGGTCAGCAAACTACAGCCTGTGTGCCACAAAAAATTAAAGATGATTATTGGTAGCATAGTGCCTAAGGCACTTGACTGCTCACCAGAAGGTTGGCGGTTCAAACCCACCAGCCACTCCTCGGAAGGAAGGTTGGGCAATCCTACTTCTGTACTGATACTGCTTCGGTAACCATTTTTGACCTTGGGCTTCAGCTCTGCTTCTTGCTCCCAGCCCACTGGAGCTAGAGATGATGCTCTTAACTCAGGCACATGCTGAGTGCTGAGGCTCACAAACCCAAAGTCAGCTAGTAAAATGGCACAGTCCTAAGATTATTAAGCAACACAGGAGACCAATATTTCAAGTCCAGAAATAGTCCTAAGGTTGGCAAGCAACACGGCAGGCTGCTGAATACAGATGTTACATAAAGGGTCTGAGTTTACCAAAAAGCTCAGGGACCTTTCTCAAACCTACTTCTATACTGGAAGCCAACCACATCCCTAAGGCAGCTACTCAGCTGCACACAGCAGATTCCACCATGGAATTGATTACCAATCTTACCATGGAGAATCAGTACATCCAACTGCCCAGCCACTCAAAACTAGGCCCAGCCAAGTTGACACAATCTTAATTACCACAGCCTGTCTCCCTTGGACCTGGCTGGAGCACGAAGGACACAAAGCTCAGAACCCCGTGGGTCCCCTGGCTGGCCTGTAGCAACATCTGGGCCCCCATAACCTAGCTCACACTCCAGGTCCCCAGAGACGAACCCACTTAGGAGGAAGGGGCGTGAGGGGCTGGCTGGGGTGGGGTGGGACTGTCTGTCATCTATGCAGTGTGCTTGCGTTGGGTTCAATACTGAGAGCAGATCTCGGAGTTGGAGCAGGACTGCACTGGAGAAAATGCCGGTGAGAGAATGTGGACACAGCTGGGCCAACGCAGCAGCCAGGGAAAAGGGAAATGTCATCGCTGGACTCACTTCACCCAGCCCCTACTGAAGTCGCTAGGGGGTAAGGATGCACCCATGACCTGGGCCCCTGTGGGCAGGACAAGGAAGGGCTCTGGGTATCATTGGTCAAGGAGTGTGCTTTGACTGCTGCTATGTGCTTCCATTCCTCAGAAAGAAGATGGGACAATCTACTTCTGTAGTGATAACTGCCACGGAAACCCAAGGAGGGGTTGCTATGAGTCAGTCTGACTCCCATGGCACATAACAACAACAACAACATGTGCTTCAATTGGTTGGCAAGTATAAGAGTGGGTAGCTGCACAGCCATGCTCCACCTCCTGCTGTATCTATACTCACAGCACACAAAGCTCAACAGTTTGAATGGACCTCACAGGCTTATGGTTCCATGAATTGCAGCCAGGAAGCACACAGAGCTTTCTGGAGAAGCTTGAGGAGCAGGTGGCCATGGGGCACCAGTCCTTGCCAGAGCGTTCAGCGTGAGAATGTAGATGGTCCAGTAGAGCACTTGGGCTCCTCCTCTGTGCCATCTGAATACCTGTCCCTTATGCGTGTCAGGCTGACCTGTGTCTTCTGTCTCCTGGTGTCCTGGGCATATTTTTCTCTCTGAGTCTCTGTTTCCTCTCTCTAGAACCCCTCTCACCTTTATCTCTGCCTTCACCTCCCACCCACTTGAGCAGCACCTGCAGGGCCTCATGGACAAAGTTCCTAGCCTGGGACAGGCAGGTTCCTTTGTCTATACTCAGTATTCATGCTTCCCATTCATGTTTCCCAAATAATCCCACAGCAGTGCACTGGGGAGTGGCCAGTGGGTTGCCTGTAGACCACTGTCCCCACTGACCACTACAGGTAACTGGGCAGTCACCTCTTTCTTTGGTCATGGAGAGGAAGGAGATGTGAGCAGAAGGAAGAGGAACCAGGAGGCCCAGCAGCAGGAAGGGTGTGGACGCCTGGCCTTTCCCAACTGTAACCCAGGACGAGTTATATGGCACCTCCTTCAGTAAATTTGGGACATTAATGACCAAATTGGCCTGAGGATTAAACGGTCAAAGTGAAAAAAGCACTTGGCCCATCTTGAATGCTCACTTTGTAGACATTTTTTGCCACTAGGTATAAAGATTGTAAACATTTGGACCTGGGAACATGGTGTTGTGCAGATAATCCACATGATTACTCCATCTTCCAACTGAGACTCTGAGTAACTAGATAAAACCCAAAACCAAACTCACTGCCATCAAGTCATTTGACTCATATCGATCTCCTTTGGATTTCCAAGGCAGTAAATTTTTATGGAAGTAGATTGCTCAGTTTTCTTTCTGTAGATTGGCTGGAGAGTTTGAACTACCAGCCTTCTGGTTAGCAGTCAGATGCCTTAGCCACTCTGCCACCAGAGCCCCTTAACTAGGTAAAGCAGATACAATTCATGATAGTGGAGTTATGAGCAACTAAGGAGAAGATAAAGTATTTTAGATCCAGTGAAGGCAAAGAAAGAGAGCAGGTTAAACTGGGAAAATAGGCAGGCCTGCCCAGGTGGTGGAGAGAGAGAGGAATCATTAGAAATACAAAAGAGGAGGGAGGGTAAAGAAAAAACTGCAGAACCCACGGGTATTGGGAACACAGAGTAGACACACCAAGAGTTTCTCAAGGAGGAACATATTAAACATATTAAACCTCCACTAGGCAACCAGAAAGCGACCCCTTCTGGGGTGGCTTTAAGGCCAGGCCCTCGTGCAGGTAAGGACAGGTGGGGAAATGAGCAGAGCTGTTGGAGCAACTAAGGGAGACAAACTTGTCTGTCCATATGTCATCCTGTGGTGGCTTGCATGTTGCTGTAAGGCTGGAAGCTATGCCACCAGTGTTGCAAAATGCCAGCAGGGTTATCCATGGTAGACAGGATTCAGTGGAGCTTCCAAACTAAAACTCAGAAGATGTAAGAGGCCATCTGCTTCTTAAAAAATTGGCCAGTGAAAACCTTAATGAATAGCAGGGAAACATGGTCTGATATATTACTGAAAAACTTTATGAATAGACCTGAAATTTGTCCAGTAGAGTGCCGGAATATGAGCCCATCAGGTAGGATGGCACTCAAAATTTGACTGGGGAAGACCTGACTCCTCAGAGTAGAGATGACCTTAATGATATGTGTGGAGTAAAGCTTTCGGGACCTACATTGGCTGATGTGGCATGACTCAAAATAAATAGAAACAGCTGCAAATACCCATTGATAATTGGAACATGGAATGTACGAAGTATGAATCTAGTACAACTGGAAGTTGTCAAAACTGAAATGGAACACATAAAGATTGATATCCTAGGCATTAGTGAGCTGAAATGGACTGGTTTTGGCCATTTTAAATCAGACAACCATATGATATACTATGCTGTGAATGACTAAAGAGGAGTGGTGTGGCATTCGTCATCACAGACTGTTTCAGTATCTTGTCCTGAAGTACAGTGCTGGATTATGCGAAGAAAAATTTGGCATCAGGATTGCAGGAAGACTCATTAACAACCTGTGATAAGCAGATGACACAACTTTGCTTGCTGAAAGTGTGGATGACTTGAGGCACTTAATGATGAATAATAAAGACGACAGATCACAGTATGGATTACACCTCAATATTAAGAAACCTAAAATCCTTGCAACTAGTTCAGTAAACAGCTTCATGATGGATGGAGAAAAGATTGAAGTTGTCAAGGACTTCATATTACTTGGTTCTACAATAAACCCCAATGGAAGCATCAGTCAAGACATCAGATGACGTACTGCATTGGGCAAACTGCTGCAAAAGACCTCTTTCAAGTGATGAAGAGTAAAAGATGTTTCTTGAAGATTAAGGTGTGCCTAACCCAAGCCATGGTATCTTCAGTCACCTCTTATGCATGTGAGTGCAGGACAGTGAACAAGGAAGAGCAAAGAAGAGTTGATGGTTTGAGTTGTTGTGTTGGAGAAGAATGCTAGGAGTACCATGGACTGCTAAAAGGACTAAAAGATCTGTCCTGGAAGAAGTGCAGCCAGAATGCCTCTTGGAAGCAAGAATGGCCAGACTTTGTCTCACCTACTTTGGTCATGTTGTCAGGAGGAACCATTCCCTGGAGAAGGATAACATGCTTGGTAAAGTGGAGGGTCAAGGAAAAAGGGGAAGGCCCTCAATGAGATGAATTGCACAGTGGCTACAACGACAGTCTCAGGTATAGCAAGGATCATGAGGCTGGCACAGGACCAGGCAGTATTTAGTTCTGCTGTGCATAGGGTTGTTATGAGTTGGAGATGATTCAGTGGCACTGGACAACAACAACAAAAGGTAACCATAGATACTACACTGAACACCTCACCAATAGACTGGTACCATCAATAGTTCCTGTGCCACAAGATCAATGACTGATGGTGGATAACACCTGTTCATCCTAACTCCAAACCCTCTTCACAACAAACAGAACAGCACCCACATCCCCACCAGTGATTACACCAACACAGAGCTGGAGAGCAACCCAGTACAGCTGAGTTAATAACTAAGAAGTATACCTGCTACACACTCCTAGATATAGTAATGCATAAAATCAGAGTGAAACAAATCAATACATACACACTGCCATCGAGTCAGATCTGACTCATAGTGATTGCCTCCTTGGGTTTTCAAGGCGGTATCACTATGGAAGTAGATCGCCCAACCTTCCTTCCAAGGAGTGGCTGGTGGATTTGAACCACCAGCCTTCCAGCAGTCAAATGCCTTAGGCACTATGCCACCATAGCTAATAATTAAAGACAGCAACATCAGAATGTCTAGGAAACAACAGAGAACCTCAAATCAAACAAAAACCAAAAAAAAAAAAAAAGGAGAAGATAATAGAAACAAAAGTCCAGAGCAAAGAATTATGTATTTTAGAGAAAGAACAACCAATAGAACTATCTGAGAAGGAATTCAGAGGGGGTGTGTGTGGGTGTGGGTGTGTATACATATGTTGTTGTTGTTATGTGCCATTGGGTCGGACCTGACTTATAATGACCCCTCCTTGGGTTTCCAAGGCAGTATCACTACAGAAGTAGATTGCCTCATCTTCCTTCTGAGAAGTGGCTGGTGGGTTGGAACCGCCAGCCTTCTGGTTAGCAGTCAAGTGCCTTAGGCACTAAGCTACCAGAGCTCCTGTGTATACATACATACATACATATATATATACATATATATATATATAATATATATATATATATATATATGTCTGTGTGTGTGTGTGTGTGTGTGTATATATATATATATTTGTTGTTGTTTTTATGTGCTGTCGAGTCAGACCTGACTCATAGCGACCCCTCCTTGGGTTGCTGAGGCAGTATCACTACGGAAGTAGATTGCCCCATCTTCCTTCCAAGGACTGGCTAGTGGGTTTGAACCACCAGCCTTCTGGTTAGCAGTCAAGTACCTTAGCCATTATGCTACCAGAGCTCCCATATACACATACACACATGTATATATGTGTTCTCTATTGGGAGGACTCCCTTTAGCATTTCTCGTAGGGTTGGTCTGGTTTTCACAAATTCCCTTAATTTCTGTTTGTCTAAGAATGTCAATTTCACCCTCATATTTGAGGGACAGTTTGGCTGGATATGGAATTCTTGCTTGGAATTTATTTTCCTTCCTAAAAAAAGGAACTCAGCACAGAAAAATAGTCGGAACAAGGAATTCACCAACAACACAACAACAACAACAAAAAAAAAACACAACAGAATGACAGCAATAAATTCATACCTACACTAATTATACTCAATGTGAATGGACTAAATATACCAGTCAAGAGAAAGAGAGTGGCAGATCAGATAAGAAAAGAAGACCCATTAATAAGCTGCCTACAGGAGACTCAACTTTGACACAAAGATAAAAATAAAAATTAAGAGGTGGATAAAAAATGTCAAGCTAATGGCAAGCAGAAAAGAGCAGGAGTGTCAATACTAATTTCTGATAAAATAGACTTCAAGGTGAAAAACAACCTATGAGATAAAGAAAGACACTGTGTGATGTTAAAAATGTCAGTTGACCAAAAAGACATTACCAGAACAAATGCCTATGCACCCAATGAAAAAGCTGCAAAATATATACAGCAAATATTAACTGAATTGAAAGGAATAATAGACAACTATACAATAGTAGGAGGAGACTTTAACACACTACTTTCAAGGAGGGAATGAAAAACTAGGAAAAAAAAACTCAACAAAGATGCAGATGAATGCATTCATACAATCAAGTAACTTGATACCATAGATGTATACAAAGCACTCCATCCAACAAAAACAAAATACTCATTCTTCTCCAGTGGACATGGATCATTCTCCAGAATAGACCATGTTAAGACACAAAACAAGCCTCAAAAGATTAAAAAAAAAAATTTGGAATACTACAAAGCATCTTCTCAAATCAAAATGTTATCAAATTAGAAACCAATAATAGGATAAGCAAGGGGGAAAAAATCAAATATGTGGAAACTGAAT